GTTGAAATGAGGAAGGAGTCCAAAGAGCTGAAGCAGTGGAAAGGTTAGCACTCTGTGTATATTTGCCCAGGAGAGCCAACACTCTTGGATGGGGACACTTGGTATATGATGGCATTTGGTTGTATGAAAACTGGGATTTATTAATTTATCTATTAGTATTTTTAGTTTTGTTGAGACAAATGTAACACTGTGTATCCCAGGCTAGCCTTGAACTCATGATCCTCCTGCCTCAGCCTCCCAGTTCTGGGATTACAGGTATCTGATTTTCAAGAAAATAGACCCTTTGTCCTGAACTAAGCTCTGAGGAACATCTTTCCAATTATGGAATTAGTGTGGTAAAAAATGGCGAGTGGCTGGGAATGAGAGTCCCTGACATCTAGTGTAGACCTTCTTCCTTAGCATTTTTCATGCAAAGGAAAACAGCTTTGGAGTTACCTGCAGTGGAGCACACCACACAGCTTACAGACAGCTCAATAATTTGGAGAGTGTCCTTTCCAGGTGCCTCTGCTGGTCTAAACGGCTTCCAGCAGCTCTTCTTGTTTCTGTTTCTTCAAGACAGTTGCTCTGCTCTCAGAGTCTTTGCAGCTTGGCCTGTCTGAGAGGGACTCTTAGTTTTTATTGCTTACTCTGTCTGGGAGGGGCCTAGTGAGTCTGGTCAGTTTCAGGGACTTCCTGAGGCTATTTGAGTTCTTTGCCTTCCCGCTTGAGGAGCTTCCTGCAAGATGTAATGTTTCAGTCTGGTAGGAAACTGTTACCAACAGTTACCTCAGAGGCTAGCTTAGAGGAAGCTCACCTGGGAGCACCCTTAGGATCAGTGCCCATGGAAGAAGTGATGGGAGCAGGAATGGAAAAAAGAAGAAGCTAGCGTCTGCTCAGTGTCAATAGCAGAATCAACCAACACCACAGGGTCTCTGTCCAGGCAGTGGTCTACCGCTTTCACTTATCCGCTGCAGTAATCATTAGTGGAGGGACTGTACCAAGTGCAAAATGGCTCTCTGCCGGTGGCAACGCTGCCAGCAACTGGGAAGCTAAGTGCTTTCATTCTAAGAAGGGATGGGTGTGGCATGTGCCTTCAGTTTCTCCCAAGAAAAATCTTGATTCAGCTGGCTTAGACAAAGAAAGGGATACCACAGCCCCAGGCTGGTTAACACTAGGACTCTACAATATTTGCAAGGCCCCTTCTAACTTTCTATTCCATCAGCTTAAGACATTGATTTTGTTTCCCAGACTGTTTCTGCTCAGAGCCACAGATGGTGGAGCAACCGGTAACTGTATGAATAAGAAACCATGTCGGACCCTGTGACTTTTATGTTGTAGAAAATAGCTCCTCATATCTTTCTTTTTGTTTTGATAATATGTATCACAATCATTACCATTTTAACTATTCATAAGTGTATAATTCTATGGCTTTAAGTATAATGGGTATTTACTCCACCTGTGACCTTGGGCTATCTGGCCTGATAGAGGTTGTGCTTCTTGTCTGCCTACATGACCTTTATAAGGTAGGAGGGAGAGGGTTGCTCTCTCTTGAGTGCTGAAGACTGGGTCAGGCATTATGGGGTAGTGTGTGATCAGTCTCCCCGGCTTTCTAAGGACTCTGCAACTGGATTTACTACATTCTGTATTCATGAGTATATATCCCCCTTTTCATATCTTAATAAATCCTTGATACCTCTTAAACCAATGCGCATGGATTTCTCATTACATTTAAGTACATATAACCATCTGTCATTGCTGTTTTTTGTCAGTTTGATCCAAACCTAGATGTAGCTGGGAAGAGGGAATCACAATGGAGGAATTAACTCCATCAGATTGACCTGTGGGTGTGTCTGTGGGCATTTTGTTAATTTAATGACTGATGTGAGAGAGCCCCACCCACTGTGGGTGGTACCTCCCTGGGTAGGTGGTTCTTGATTGTTAGGAAAAAGTAGCTGAGCAAGCCATGGGAAGCAAGCCAATAAACAACATTCTTCCATGGTCTCTGATTCAGTTCCTGCCTCCTAGTTCCTGCCTTGAGTCCCTGCCTTAGCTTTCCTCCATGATAGACTGGAAGCTTAATATAAAATAAATTCTTTACTCCCCAAGTTGTTCTTTGGTCACGGTGCTTATTACAGCAGCAGAAGAGAAATCAGGACATTATCGTCATCACCCAAACCTTTATCATTCCCAACAGAAATGCTGTTATTTACTAAACAGTCATATGTCTTCTCTTTCTTCCTCCCATTTGTAACTTCTACCCGAATGCTGAATAGTATCTTACTGTATGGAATAGTATCCTACTGTCCATGTGTTTATCCACTGATGAACACTTGGGTTGTTTGTACACATTGGCTACTATGAGCAACATTGCTATAAACAGAGGTAAACACATATCTGTTCAATTTGATCCAAACCTAGACATAGCTGAGAAGAGGGAATCACAGTTGTAGAATTGCCTCCACCATCTATACTGTTTAGCATCTGCTTTTCCTATCAGAATGTATCAGACATAATGCTGCCTCTGTCCCACAAGGGAAGTGATTTTTATATGTTGACTTCCCTGGAGTCCCACTGCTAAGGGAAGGAACTGGCATAGGGCAGGCACTTAATAAATCTGTTAGTCCAGCATTTTTCAGAAGAGAAAGCTGGAGCTCAACACAATGAAGTAATCTACTCTGGGTCACATAGCTCGGAAGTAGCCGAGATGAGTAGTTAAATGCTCTGTGATGTTTCAGAACATTCAAAAACCCATTTAGCAAAGAGCCAGACAATACCAATGGCCCCTCTCCAGCCTCCCTCCCTCCCACTGACTGAAGAAAGGCATTTTAAACGAGCAGGGATTCCATGCTGGAGGACTTTTGGAGGTTGTCTGTGGGCTGTTGGCAAGGGAATTCAGACTGAGTGTTAAGGAAGGAAGCTGGTGAGCTATCTCTATGCTGGGCTTGTCCTGGGGCACAGAGGCAACACCTGTAATTAAATGCAGACCAGCTGCCATAGGCTGGCACTATGTCAGAGAGGCATCTTGTCTGCATGGGACAGGTTTACGGAGTCTGAAATAGTCGGGGAGTGTAATAGTTTGGGGTATAAACTCACCACATAATCATCCTGTGTGGACTTGCCCTGGTGCCTGACATTCTCCTTTGGTCCACAGGATTGTGCACACAAGAAGCCTCACAGGGAACCAGAATGGACACTCTGTTTGCACTGGACCTGCTGCACTTTGTTGGAATAAGAAGGATCTAGGGTTTTGCTGTTGGGTTGGTTTCATATTGCTTCATTTCAGTAAGGAACATCTTTCTCAGGAAAAGGGGATTTGGCTGGATGTGATCTTGTTAGCCAGTGAGGCCCACAAAGTGTGTTTTTTTTCTCTTGCACTCGGGAAAGCCATGTTGTAGGCTCTCTCTCTGCACAAGGTATTGGCATCCTTGGCAGGATGGAGCTTTGGGAACTGGAGCCATAGGTGGCAGCTAGCTAGCTCCTTGGACAGTTTAGGAGGAGGTAGAGGGCTCTGAGTAGAGGTTGAATCTTGCAGGCTGAACCCAAACCAAGATGGCCCCTCACCAGGTTGGAGCCAGTGGCAGCCCAGGGCAGCTCTTTAAAGTACAGGGACTTGATTGCTGGCATGCCTGTCCTGAACCTGCTGTGAGAATTGAGCAAGACAGCTCCATGGCACACTAGCCTACTGT